TTTGTGAGGAAGATCAGCCCTGAGCTAACATCTGATGCCAATCCTCCTCTTTTTGCTGAGGAAGACTGGCCCTGGGCTAACATCTGTGCCCATGTTCCTCTACTTTATATGGGACGCATGGCTTGACAAGCGGTGCATCGGTGCGCGCTCAGGATCGGAAGCTGCGAACCCCGGGCCACGGAAGCAGAGCGCACGCACTTAACCACTGTGCCACCAGGCCAGCCCCTAAAATGGATTTTAAGTATAGTGGACTCTCATCTGTAAAAATACTCCCAAGACAGCTAGTCCATCTGGCTCATGAGCTGCCTCCACAGAGCTGCGGTATTTGTCTGAATGCCAATGAACAACATGGAGCTGAAAGGGAGGGACACAACACAATTCCAACACTGTTTTTTAAAACACTCTTAAAAATGTAAATTCAAATAAAACATACATATACATATAGAAAAAATATGAATTTTCTCTTTCTTCATATCTTTGCTGTTTCTTCTGTACATAAGCAATGTGTCTAAAAAGAAAGGGACTTGAGCAAAACATAACAGAAATTCAGAGACAGAATCAAACGTCAAGTTTGAGTCATCTCTATATTGAATTCTCTCCTGGGATCTATTGGTTGGAATCCTGGATACAATTAAAATGGGTATCATGACCATGAAGCGTGTTCTGTAGTAGAAAACTATTCGTAAAGCACAAGGCAGCACAGAACAGTATAATTTTCTTTCTTAATTTGAGTGGGATAATAATAATTCTGTGTCTGGGATCTATTAACAGGACAGGAACTTGAAGTATGTATGTGCACACTCTTTTGTTTTCAGTCCTGTCCTGATCCTGTACATAATTACTGCTGCAATACTGCAAAATAGAGTAGCCTTCTCTTTATTATCTAAACACTCTTTCCCTATTGTCTTCTCATAAAGCCCCACAATGGTAGCAGTTTCTAATTGCTTCAGATATTCAGTGATTCATACAGGCATTGGCCTGCTTGGTTTGAAAATAAAAAGTTAAATGAGAATCAAATTTTATTGCAAGGAACTCATAGACTATTTAGGAAGATAGAACGTTCTCAGAAGGAATTATAATACTGAATAACTATATGACTACTACAGGAACCATGTGGGAGAATAAAGCAAGACCGACATGAAGAAGAACTGACTTAGGTCTTGAAGAATAGTAACGTGTTTATGGAAATGTGGAAAAGGCATTGGAGGGAGATGTAAGAGATACTTGTGCAAAGGTATAGATCAGGGGAAACTCAGTGCCATGGGGAATAGAATTCTGCAGCCTTGTATGGTCCAGCCTTCCATACATGCTTGAGCAGCTGCATAATCAAACACGTGCCTCGCAGTGGCCAGCAGTGTGTTCTTATAGGCAAGTTGATAGATGCTGCCTGAGCTGAGGCTGTGGCCCCTCTGCCCTTATCCTGTAGCTCAGTACTTCTCTCTCCACTCTTTTCCAGCTCATTCCTTTAAGAAATTTGCTTTGACCTGCATTTGAGGGCAGAAAGAGGGCAACGCCACTGAAGAGAAATTGCTATGTTTATAGTGGCTTATATTGTATGATATTATATATTGTATGTTCACTTGGTTAAACTCCTCATAGCTGAGAAGAACTCCATGGACCCCTTATAGATCATGAGTCCTACTGTAGCACGTATCTCTAATGGTTTTACCATGAAGCTAATGAAACTTTGGCTTCAGAGCCCCTCACTTGCTTGGGTCCTTCCCAAGACCCTGAGAGGAGCCTTAGCAATGAACGCACATGGACTTATGTCTTGGCAAAATTTGTAAAGTAAGACATTTTAACCTCAACTGATTAGAATAGTGCCTCTCAACATTTTTTTAAAATTTTGCACCCCTAAAAATCTTTTTAGAATATTTGTCTTAATTGTCCCCTCCTATGAAATTTTAATACCACCCATGGACTATATATCTGTTATGTATTGTGTGTATATTTGTGATTTATATATAAAAAAAGAGTAAGATTCTTTCACCTCCCCCCAAGAACCAACTTCTGCATCCTTGAGGTGACATTGCCCCCACTGAGAAAGCATGGGTTAAGACTACTGTCTCCTACGTCAATCTCCTTCCATCACACTGCTCCTGTGTCAGGTGGTTTTTGGAGTGAACACAAGTATTTTGGGAACTAGCTAAGAAGAACTTGAGGGAGGGACATGTTTTATTTGGACTTCATAGGATATATTTATGTAGTTTGCAGTTACTTCCATGTACAGTTAACAATTCCAATGTAGGAATAGCTTCCAAGAATACTCCTACCACTTACTGTGCAGATCTATCCAAAGTCACAATGAAAAAGTGCAGGGGAAGAGGTCAGATCATCATATGACTGTGTCCTGGAGCATCCAGCACAAGATATGTGTGGATTGTGGAAATGAAACAAGGTTTGAAATGTACAGGGCCAGAGCTAGTCTGTGGAAAGTTTTTCCGAATCTAACAACTTATATGTGAAAAAGACTTTACAGAGGTATTCTCAAATTTGACAATATTCTTAATTTAGATACATCATCAGTAATGAGTTGTAAATGTGAAAGAAACTTCTTACACTATTAATAATAATAACAAAATTCAGATTTCTGCTATACGCCGTGAGAGATTCACCTGCATTAATCCCTCTGCTAGCTGGGTCAAAAAAACAAACAAGAACACAAAAAGCAAATATATATTTGAAGGCATGAGAGGGCTACCAAATTGAACAGGAATTTAGGGGCCATGATCTGGAGGAGGAGGGAATCACACTAAGGTGAGTCCTACATTCTGTACTACTTTTCCTTTCAAGTCATTCACCAACTCAGAAGTGAGGCAGCAGTAAAAGACTCAGAGGCTTGAGCAGGAAGTTGCTCAAACAGAATTAGTATTCAAGGCCTGCCAAAGAAGAGTGGCCTTGGAAAATGCCACTCTTTTTTCATTTCAAAAATGAAAATTTCCACTTGGAACTCCAACAATTCTGAAAAACATTTAATTAGACTACATCTATTCATGTTTTTAAAAAATCTTAGCAAATTAGAAATAAAAGGAAAAATATTTAATATGAAAGGAATATCAACAACAACAACGCCTATTTAAAAATCCTGCTCAATAATGAAACATTGAACACTTCTCTCCTGAGCTTGGGAATGAGATGAGCACAGCCCTCACCACCAATTCTAATCTATATTATAGAAGAGGTTCTAGCCAGAGGAGAAAATGCAAGAATGAGAGAAAAGAATCACAATAATTGGAAATGAAGAAATAAAAGCCTCATTATTTGCAGATGACATGATTATATATCCAGAAAATACAAAAGAATCTACAGATTAGTTATTTGTATTGTTAAGTTTTTTAGACAGTTTAACATATAAAAATCAATTTTGTCTCTACATACCAAAAGTAATTTAAAAAAATGAAATTAAAAAGATGTCATTTATCATAGCATCAAAATTATCAAATATCTAGGAATAAATCTAACAAAAGATCTATAAGGCCTCTACCACAAACACTACATAATGATAATGAGAGACCTTAAAGAATATCTAAGGAAACGGAGGTAAACTATACTCATGGATTGGGAGACTCAATATTGTTAAGATGTCAATTCTCCCCAAAGTAATCTATAGATTCGATGCTACCTCAATCAACATCCCAGATGTATTTCTCTTGGAAATTGATAAGCCAATTCAAAATTTATATCAAAATGAAAAGAACCAAGAATACCCAAGACAGTCTGGAAAAAGAAAAATAAGGTGGAAGATTTAAGTTACTGAATTTAAACATTTATTATAAAGCTACAGCCATTGAGATAGTGTTGATTCAGTGCAGAAACAGACAAACAGACCAATGGAAAGGAATAGAGTATGCAGAAACAGACCCCCAAACTTGACTTATGCAAAGTTGACATTACTTTATAATGGGAAACAAACAATGCAACTATCAATGAATAGTGCTAGGTCAGTTGACCATGAATGCAGCCAAACATATGCAGCCCATAATGTATGAAAAAAGAATTGTGGAGGCACAAAATTCATTTATTAATGAAAATATTATGATTTTTAGTGAATTTTGTAATGTGACATTTGTCTACTTTCAAAATTTAGTGATTTGCTTTTATTTATTTTCTTATAATAAGTATTCTTCTTTTTGGTGGGGGGTGAGGAACATTAGCCCTGAGCTAAATCTGTTGCTAATCCTCCTCTGTTTGCTGAGGAAGATTGGCCCTGGGCTAACATCCATGCCCATCTTCCTCTACTTCATATGTGGGACGCCTGCCACAGCATGGCTTGATAAGCAGTGCACAGGTCTGCACCCAGGATCCGAACCTGTGAACCCCAGGCCGCTGAAGCAGAGTGTGCAAACTTAACCAGTAGACCACTGGGCCAGCCCCAATTACTCATATTTATAACCACTTTTCCATTTGTAACTTTGTATTATTTTTCTTAAAGAGGGCTCCTCAAATTGTATAAGCGTCAGATAAAATGCAGCATAGATCTGCTCCTGGCTGTATCAGCTTCATTTAACAACTTGTTAAAGGGAGGGAAAGATGTAGCCAGAAAGTGGAATGTTGGTACCCAGATTTCTGAGATGAACCCGTGTTAGATGAGGTTCAGATCCCAAGTATTGCCCTGAAGATGAGCAGAAGTGGAGGGCGAGGGTAAGTCCCTGCCATGAACATATCCAGAATTCAAACACTTCATTTGTCAATGAGTTTTTCCAGATGTTGTACTTTCTTAGGTTTAGATGAGTTAAATCTAGATAAGACTCCAACTAGGAGAGTTGGAGTTAATGACTTAGAGCCAAGTCTTAATCCTTTCATAGAATAAGACTAGGTAACTTGGGAGGGTGGTAGATGACAGAGACAAGGAATGGTCAAGAGTTTTAGTGTGATATTCTGAGTCTCAATGTGGACAAACTACCACAAATATTGAAAAAGTAACAATCTTGAAACAATGGGGTTAACTAACCTCATCTTCTTCAGGCCAATTCCTCATTCATGCTCAGTGGATATGCACCCAGTACATACCCCTATCATTTTACTCATTGTCATGGCTTATCAGCTTATCTGTTTCCCCCTATAGACTGTGAACATCTGGGGGGAACAAATGAATGAAAGATTTATTGGATCTATTTGCTTAAATAAGTATAAGCTTTATGTGGGGACCCTACTTTTTAACCATTTTATCCTAATGCTTATCATATAATAGAAACTTTCTAAATATTTGTTGCATTAAGGGTAAAAAAATGAATGATAAAATATATTATTTTCTATGATGTGGTCCTCTCTTCCACTCTTTATAAGTACCACTTTCCCTTAACATCCATTTCCACCATTGGCTAAGATTTCTTTCTCTTCCGGAGATATGCCATCAAAATTTATGAGCATGTCCTGGAATTTCAAAAAATGGAGGTTCAATGTTCTGGCTCACCTGAATTAATTTCATTTTTAATCTGTACTTTGAAATTTATTGTCCTCATTTTGTCAATGGCCCTTCTAAATTTTGCACCAACTCAGATCAATCTCCACTTTCTGGGCTGACCTTAATGTTGTCACTTGCATGGATAAGGTAGCTTTCTGGATGTCAATATTTCATTTGAGGAGTAAGAAAGAATGATTTAGTATAGGTAAATTCAATCTCATAGCAAAATAAATGTTTTCACTTAAGGTCAGTAATCCTTTTACAGTGAAAGCATTATGATTTTTTGTTTGTTTGCTTAAATGCAACCTCTAATTCTTCAACCTTAAGACAGTTATTACAGACATGTTCCTGCCCGTGGGCCAAAATAAGATTTTGTGTATGACTTTAAACCAGAACTCATTTTAGGGAATCAGACTTTATAAGCTGACATCCTCCATGAACTGGCTAAGTGCTTGGCATATGCTTTAATTAACCATAACTCTGATTTAAGGGCAGAAGCTAACAATGGTTGAGCATCCTCTAGGAGTCAAGCACAGAGCTAAGCCCGTGATAAGATGGCATTATCTAATTATCCTCCTTAATGATCTTATGGTTTTAGGTACCATTATTTCCACTTTAAAAGTGATGAGGTGGAGGCTTACAAAAACTAAGCCGCCTGTCCTCATTCAGCTAGTAAGTGGCAGAGCCAGGATTCAAGCCCTGCTTTTTTGGACTTCCATGGTCTTTCGCTCCACCATATTGCTTTGACTTTCCCATTTGCTAAAAAGGAAAGAAATTCATGTCACAATACTAGAAAGTAGTCACAGTACTTATATCTTGTCAGAAAAAAAGCCACTTAGCAGTTTAAGAATCTGTTTCCCACACTCCTAAGATCCAGTTACAGGCTACTACCTCAATGAAGCCTTCTCTACTCTGATCCACAGCCGTCTTTGCCTTCTCTGAATACTTACCATACGTTTCCATTATTTCACTCTGTTAATGAATGATAGTGAAAGAGTCCCATCTCCTTGGTCTCTTGCGTGTGCTTTGTTTTCCTTAAAAACCCATCATTTTCCAAAGCAAATACTCTATGCTTCTTTTATGTCCATTATTGAGCTTACCCCAGAACTAGGATCACAGCAGAACTAGAATCATCTTTTAGCCCATGTTGAAGTAAAAGGATTCACATATAAAGAAAATACATTATTTAAAAATTAAAATATTAAACCATGTTATCTTTTATATATTAAATATAACCATATTAAACCAAAATATAAACCATTAAACCATACGATCTTTTAAGTCCATACAGTTTTTGGTGGTGGTAGGACTGATATTCCTTTCAACTTTTGATAACATTTTTCAAACCCTTTGTTTTGCTTCATTAAATTATTGCTTAAATTATTTGGGAAGCACCGTGAGCTGGGGAGTCAGAAGTGGTTGGGTTTCCATGCCAACACTGCCATTGAATTGCTGGATGTCCTTGAGCAAATTATTTTGCCTCTCTGATCCTCAGTTTCTTCCGTTGCAGAATAAAGATAATGATAGTGCCTAGCTCATTGGATTTAATATGATAATATCTACAAAGTATCAAAACAGTACTTGACAAATTATTGGCACTTAGCAAATATATTTTCCCTTTCTTCCATTCATATATTTTCAAAATCTATTCTTATCTTTTCTAATGTACATATAAGGGAAATGAGGAATTTGCAGGGCACAACTTAGGTGTGAGCAGATCTATCTTCCTCATCATGGTGCTTGGCATATTTGCATGCTTTTTTCCCAACTGTACTTTTGCTCTATGTTGTCCCCTACGTTGTTCCCATCTTCACCTGCTGAAGCTTTTCATAGTCAAGCTCCAAGGCTACCTCCTCAGGAGAGCCCGCCTCCATCCTTCTAGCTGAAGCACTATCTCTTCTAGCTCCTTCTCTCTTACAATATTTATCACATTCTATTGTCATAGATTTCATCTTTATCTCATTTCATCCAAGTATAAGTTCTGAGGCTTCCTCCTGTGTACTTAAACTGCATTCCATGTTTCAAAGACCCCCTCTTTCTGTCTGGAGAGCTCTTGAATGTCTGGCATCACTGTAAAGAAAAGTGTCCACATGGGTCAATTTGGAAAGGCTCAGCAAATCATTGGGGCCCTGACAGTCAGGCCTTTCTGGACAATCAACAGTCAATATGTACAGGACACTTAATGAAAAGCAGTCAGCAGACAGTGACGAAAAGGACAGCTATTGGGCCGGCAACTCAGAACACCCTATGGGTTTTAGAGTGGCTCCCACTTATTCCCTTTTGCTGGTAAAGGGTGCAGTTAGGCAGAACCTCAATGCTGACTTCATTCCCCCTCACATTGCCCCCTTGGGTGGTATACCCAATTCCTGGCCACACCAAACTCCTACAAGTGTAAGCCACATACTCTTTTCTAGCCTGGATGACCTTCATTCCGTGTTTATCACTCTTGAGCTCTTTCTTGTTCTTTTTCCAGATCATCATTGAAGCATAAACTCTATTTCACTTCTATCAGGATCTTCTCTTTTGATTCTCAAGAACTTCAGCCAAACATTTCCTCTTATAAATCAAAAGCTTTTGCTTTCAATTATTGTGTCTGATGTCGGGCTTCAAGAGTTTATTTTGAAGCTGAAAAACATCAACATATTTTTCTCTCTGCTTTAATAATCCTGATTCTCTGAGAATTACTTTGTGGATGCCTCTGACTGAACAAGAAAATGTTCACATACAAAGAAGAGCAGAAGGGAAAGTTATCAAGGTTGATATTTTGGTATAATATATTTGACACAACTTTATATTATAGATATTTGCATACATCACATCTCTTCTAAAAAGTGTAAACTCCTTCAAGTCAGAAATTTAGTCTTGTCTCTCTTTATAGCCTCTCAAAGTACCAAGACTTTTGTCTTGCATAGAGTAAGTAAACAGTAAATATTTGTTGAAGTAAATTGAAAAAGCACAATACTTGTTTGTGAAAATCCAAGGGCAAAGCCACGTGGAAGAACTTGGAGGCCTAATAAATACACAGACACTGCTATGTGCTAATCAATTGATCCACATATGCAAAACAACAGTAGTTTAAAATTTAAAACATGCAGAAAATTTTATTAGCCTTATTCAGAAGGCCACATTATAAAAACATGTTAATAGGGTAGGTGACATAAATTTCAATGTTTCTTTCACATCCTACTGGAATTCTACATTCAATCTAAATAAATTGACCTGTTTGGTTAGTTGTACCTGCGTAGCCAACTCAAAATCAAATTATTTATATGAAACCAAAGAATATTAGTTGGAGATATTGCAAATGAAATTTAAAAACTGTTTCCTCTGATTTATTGTCTGTCTGAAATAATTCCCCATTTTATTTAATCGTTCTTTTTGTGGCTATTGTTTTTATTCAGGTGACAAAGGGGAAAAGGGTTTGCCTGGGATACCTGGAGGAAAAGGGAAAGCAGGTATGATATGCTTATTTTTCTCGTTAATTTATAGCATCATTCCAAATGTATTCATCTCAAAAATAAATATGTTTTTACAGAAAAACAAGAGTCTTTTCAGTGTGCTTAACTTTATTTTACTTGGATTCGGGGAAAGGGAAGAAGGGGACTGTCCTTTCTACCTGCTGACAACTTTCCAAGTCCTGTGGAAGGGGATGATGGCACGTTCCATCCCCGTCCTGCTTGCTGTGAGGAGGTAAACCTAGCACATCAGGAAGCAGCCCTCACTCTCCTAGACCAAGAGGAGAATCCACAATGGCCTCAGCAATAGGACTGTATCAGCATGATTCACATTCCTCCGGCATCTCAACCGAATAGTGGCCAGCAGTTTGCCAGCAGCAACCTGGCCTGATACAGAAATGCCCATGGTTACAGAACATGCCTTCAATGGCCAGGAAGATTCTCCCTGAGTAATGAGAGTTTTATTTCCAGTGCTATATGCAGGGAAAGAAGGTAGACTGTTCTTGGGGAGCCTCAGTTGTTTCTATCTACAAGAGTGTAGTGAAGACTAATTCTGAGAACTGTTTTAAATCCCTTATATTTGGGCTGGCCAAGCGGATTAGTGGTTAAGTTTGTGTGCTCTGCTTCAGCAACTCAGGGTTTGCAGGTTCAGATCCTGGGCACAGACCTACACACCACTCATCAAGCCATGCTGTGGCAGCATCCCACATACAAAATAGAGGAAAACTTGCACAGATGTTAGCTCAGCAACAGTCTTCCTCAAGCAAAAAGAGGAAGATTGGCAACAGATGCTAGCTCAGGGCCACTCTTCCTCACCAAAAAAAAAAAAAAAAAATCCCTTATATTTAACTGTGAATGTGGATAAACAAAGCCACAGATATTTTTTCCTTTGGCTAATAAAATTCTTTTTATTTTTCAACTAATAAAAAAGAAAATGGAAATGTTCATGTGAAGTGACCATTAAATAGAAAAAGGGAATTATTTGAATTTCACATCATTTTCCTTACAATTCCTTGCCTGTCACAATATCAGTAGGTCATTGAAAAGATAAAGGAGCAAAGGAGAATGAAAGGCAGAAATTAAAATCATAGTTAATGCACAAATGAGGCAAGTGGATCTTGAAATTGTAAGTTAGATCTATTCACAAGATTTAAACTTAGTCCTTGAAACACTCAATCTATACTCCAAATGGATCATCAAAATTAACATTTGATTTCATCATGTAAGCCTTCTCCTGTCTTGGGAGAGTTGTGTGAGCCAGTGAACAATGCAGCAACAGAAGAGAAGACTGGCTAGAAATACATTTTAAGAAAGCTGTAAAGATTTTATTCTGAGATTGGACAAGTACATTTTGTGTTCGACAAAAATACCAAATGGTCCACAATACGTATGCAGTGGTTTGTCATAGTTGCTCTTCTTTTTAAAAATCTAGTTTAGAACTATGTTTTAACTTATTCAAAATATTTAAAAACATATTTTCTGAATTCCTAAAGACAATGTAAATTGGAAACCTTGTTTTAAATAAAAGACTAAAAAGATAGCCATTCTCAGAGAGACATAGCCAAACTAGAAAAAGATAGTAAATATCGAGATGGGAGCAATTGCTCTTTTCAACTGATCTGCATGTGCTTCAACATGAATTCACAGTTTTTGTCATTTAAAAGGTACTGTCTGTGATTGTGGAAGGTACCGGAAAGTTGTGGGACAACTGGATATTAGTGTTGCTCGCCTCAAGACGTCTATGAAGTTCGTCAAGAATGGTGAATATATTCTCTTCTGCTTTGTGCCATTTGTCTATTGGTTTAGTGTCTTTCAACACTACAATTCCAATATTCCTGGCAGAAAATACCTCGGGTTGGGCAAAAGCCTACAGAGATAGTGTCACCAGTTTAAAGGTCTCTCAAAATGCTCATTGTCCACTCAGACTCCAGGACACTTCAGGTCCACTACATAGATTCATACATACATGCATTGCCTATGGGTAGAAAAAGATACTTTCTGACAAGAGGGGAATGGTGAAAAGAGCAAAGTTTGGCAACTTATACTTTAAGAATAAAAAGGGACAGCAAGACTCAAACAGAGCTAGCATCTCAGAAAATAGAAGTAATAATAAAAACGATAACTGCTTTCTTGAGTATTTGGAATGATAATAATAATTATGAGGTAGGTATTATGATTAAACTGAAGTTTACAGAGATTACATCGTCCACAGATAGAGCGAATGAACAGTAGAGCTGGGACTTGAATACAGGTTTTGGTGACTTTTGTAGGGGAGGAAGAACATTTCCTCTACCCACTCTAAGTCCTTCTGGCTGGGCTACGGATTAAATTGACATGAGACAGAATAACAGGAGAAAATCAAACAAAGCTTTATAAAATGCATACATAGGAGAGACCCAGGAAAACTGAGTAACTCGCCAGAATGGCCGAGCTGTCAGTTTAAACATCATCTTCAGCTAAAGACAAAGGAGGATGTTGGAAGTAGTGGTTTGGGACTTCAAAGAAGAGGAAGGCAATTCACATGGAAATGGAAAATCAAATGTTTGGTAAACAAAACTTTGATAAGAATGGGCTTAGTAAGGACCCTCACAGTCTACTGATACCCAGAGTTATCTACGGTGATGGCCTGTCCTGGGGACAGGCCTTTTATCTTAAATTCTTTTAGGCAGTTAGAGGGAAGTTAAAAGTTTCTTTTAGAGTCTTTTGTTCTTAAAAATAATCAAGGTAAAGAGACATACTTTGAGGTAGCCAATTCTAATCCTCCACACTTCTCTACGCTCAGTACAAATCAATAGGAACATTATGTTTCTCTAAATTTTGCAACTTCCCGTATTAGTCATTTTTGTTTTCCCTTGTCCATTTTCCCATTATAGTTAACTGTAAAACCCTTAAAGTGGGGCTTATATGTTTTCTTCTGAGACGGAACTATTATAGTTACATTACAATTGGTTTTATTTTGTTGTACTTTCCTTTATTGTAATCCAGCTACATTTATTGTACATTTTTGGAAGCACACAGATGCCATCTTGTTTACTTGTAATACTAAAGTCATAGGAAATGCTTGATACTAACTACCCTAATTATAGCTCTGGTTATAACCTGTACAGAAGATGCTGTCTCTGACATGACTTCAACTCTAATGAATAAAGCAGACCCCAGAGGTTCAACATAGAACAATAGTTCTTAAAATTTGAGTGGTCAGATTTCTTTATGAATTTTAATTTATGAACTCTAAAAAGTATATGTAGATGCCCCTGAAGCCCAAAACATGTATACCATATTACGAGCTCAAGATGATTCTGAGTCCCCAATTCTGTCTTGAAATTTACTCAGCAGCTCAGTCTACTTCATGAACCTAGAGAGAAGTATAGACAATCTCAATCAATGTACATGTTCAAAGGCCAGGAATTTGACCCAAAGTGGAAAAACCTGTATTTTCCCATATCAGTTCAATAAGCTTTTATCATCCCTTGCAATGTTGAAATCACCAAGGCTACAGAGTGGCAAAGATGTGGTCCTTGTCCTCAAGACATTCACAGTTTAGTAGAAGAGACACGCAAACAAACAATTAGGCTAAAATGTGTTGAGTGCTATGAAGTGGAAGGGGCAATGGAAACATAGAGGGAGAACGCACAAGAGCCCCGTGTCTGTCCAGGGGCATTGGAAAGGCTCTTACAGGAGAAAACACTGCTACTGAGATCTAAAGGACAAGTAAGAGTTTGCCAGGTATAGAAGCAGTGGGAAGACTTTCCAGGCAAGAAAGGCATGCATGCGGAAGAAAGAAGGGCATGCTCGTGGGACTGTAAGTATGGCAAGAGCATAAACTAGGATGGGAAAAATAGCCTAAGATGAGCTGGGTGACAGTTCATACAACTAGTCTTTGTCAAAAAACTCTCTGCTTCACAGTTGTGTGGCAAGTGAAGGAGGAAGTGCAGGGAAGACAAATGGTAGGAGTTTGTTCTTCATTTGATAACTAGAAACGTGGAGAAAATATTAAACCAGTGCATACCTCACAACAGGGCCTGGCAAAATAATTGTTGAATGTTGAATAAGTGAATTTAAGTCCAGAAATATTATATACTTGCCTTTTTCTTTTTGAGATGAATAATCATACTCTTCTTTTCCTCTCTGCAAAGTCATAGCAGGGATTAGGGAAACCGAAGAGAAATTCTACTACATCGTGCAGGAGGAGAAGAACTACAGGGAATCCCTGACCCACTGCCGGATCCGGGGTGGCATGCTAGCCATGCCAAAGGACGAAGCTGCCAACACACTCATCGCTGACTATGTCGCCAAGAGTGGCTTCTTCAGGGTGTTCATTGGGGTGAATGACCTTGAGAGGGAGGGGCAGTATGTGTTCACGGACAACACTCCACTGCAGAACTACAGCAACTGGAAGGAGGGGGAGCCCAGCGACCCCTATGGCCATGAGGACTGTGTGGAGATGCTGAGCTCAGGCAGATGGAATGACACTGAGTGCCATCTTACCATGTACTTCGTCTGTGAGTTTGTCAAGAAGAAAAAGTAACTTCCCTCACACTACGCATTCATTATTTCCTTGTGACTACCATTGCAGTTATTTTTATCCACTCTTTTCTTCCTAATTACACTAAATTCATTCTGACTCAAGAGAAGTGAGAAATGACAGACTCAAGTTTGGAGTCTCCATCACCATGCTCTTCTGTAACAATTTTGAACAATTTCATACATGGCATGTTCTTTAGCCAATAGCTCACCAGGTTACATGGGTCCTGAGAGAGAGTTTGAATTACTGGTTATGCAGGAGGTGGTCATCTATGTTTCAAATGAAATGTTCTCTTGGCCACCACTCCCTAGAGCCCTAAACCACTATCTAGCTCAGTGCATAATTAGACAGTTGGTCTGTGATGATTAGGCTAACCTGCCCTTGCCCAAAGCCAGACATGTGGGAAGGCCTTCTGATAGGAATGTTGAGATATTATCTGTCTTTGAAACAAAAATCCTCAGTTCTTTTACCAGTCACCCACCATGGCCATAGCCATACTTGCAAAGTCATCTTGTTTGACAGACATAGAAATACTTCAACCTCAAACCTCTGTATGGGGAACTTCCTGGCCAGTGACTTGTTCCAGATCGTCTGAAATCATACTGACAACTTTTGTGCTTCTGATTGACAGTCTTCCCTATAGTATACCAGGCAGTTGCCTTGGCCCCCTTTCTATAGGCCCACAACTTAATCCCAAGCCCCCAGATATTAACTCTCTGATTTGAGGAAAAGGAAACTTTAGAAATTGAAAAGAAAAAGAAAGTTTGTTCTCAAACAATATTATTTATAATCCTCATACTAAATTGTACCCTGCTATTAATATGGCTCCATTTTTCCTTGTCTTGGTTTACTCATATCAACTTTCCTCCCCTTAGGCATGGGAAATGAGGGACGGGGTTTGTGAAGCCATCAGAAAATTCTAGAAACCTCAGGGTGCTACTAACACCAAGTCTGTAAGTCCCCTCCTCCATGCTGCTAATATATCACTCATGGTGACATTTCATAGGAGGCTCTTTACTCTCCATAACTGTTTGTTGTAAAAAACCCCACTACCAGAGATGACATCACAGGAATGTGTGGAGGTTGGAACATGCCTAGGACTCACATTTACTGAGCTGGTGAAATTCTACTTTGAACTGCAGATCAAACCTCAAAGCAGCTTTCATTTGGAATTTAAAAATAAATAGTTCAACAAAACTCTAGATCACCCCCTATAAACTGCTGCTTCAGGTATAGTTTGTGACATAAGACTAGACTGTTTAAAATGCTGGCAAGATGGTTAATGAAATGAGAGAACTAGATCAACAACATATGTTCACCTTAAACCATCTGTCCATGATTTCACCCATGACTAACTGGTTATGAGACAGGATTTCATCAGGTTATTTCTGTGGGTTTAATGCGGGTCGCAAACTTAGGTCCTACAGGGGCCATACAGATGACATAAATAAATGAAGTGGAACAGGTGGTGGGGATCCTAGGACACTGAACACAGCTTGTCCTTCTCAAGGAACCAGCTGCTCCTCAGTTGCTGCTATTTTTGCGACAGAGGACCCAATGTCACTACATGCTCTGTTATTTTGAGAGAAACTAGAAAGCTGGAACTTTGTATCTTTGTATTTTTAAATGTTGGTATCTAGTCAGTTTTTAATCCAAATTTTAAGTCATAAGAAACAGTCTGCTAGCCAAAATCATGACTCCATTTCTCACCTCTGGGGAAAAGTTCTGAAGGTTCTAACCACATCGAATGTCATTAGGATACAATGACATCAAAGTCCAGATCTCACATTAATGTCTCCTTCAGTTCAGTTCAATAACAGAAATTTGTTGACTGTTTGCCATTTGTCAGGTTAATAAACTAGTTACTTATTCAGACTTTGGAGACTGTGGCATGTGATATTTTGAAGGCAGGGCAATTTAATAAAAATTACAAAGAGGACACCATGTCGAAGCCAGTATCCTTGAGTAGAATGTCAGCCAAGAGCATGAGGGACAAGAACCTGGAAACGCTTGGAGGAAAAGACAGGGATAAGAAGAGAGAAGAGAGGGAATGGACAGCAAACATCGCCTAGGGGCAGCTCACATTGGGATCCATATTCTAATTTGTTTTAAGCTCCCAAAGTATGAATATTTATTGTGTATATTGTATTGTTATTATTTCTGTTATGATTATTATAATAGTAACAATAGCATTTCTCTCAATGACTCATCTTTGCTGCTGATGCTTCCAAGAGACGATGACTGAGAGTCAAAGAATAGGATTCATCCTGCAACCTTGCCTGGAAGAAATTTCAAAGGCAGCACACACTTAATTAGATTTACTATGAAACTTACATTTTGTGACTCACTCTGTGCTTTGCAAAATAAATGCCTTCACATATCACTTCTCATTCCATCTTGATAAACTCTGTGCAGTACAAAAGGAAGATATTCTTACTGCCACTTTTCCAAGGAGAATACTGAGCCCCAAGGAAACTAAGCAATTTACCAAAATCAACTCATTTGAGAGAAAAGCAGGACTCCAGCCTGCTGATCGAAATTGCCAATCCAGTGTTCCCTCCAGCCTCTGTTTATTGTTCTTATATTGAATGGAAGTTCATCCATGATTCCCTCATGATAGCAGGGGCTCAAATAGACTCTCTTGATTACTTTCCAAAGTTAAAGATTAGAGTTAATTAACAGAGATGCCAGGGATTCAGAAACTTGTCTTACAAATTTGTTGTTCACTGGTTTAGTTTTTAAATCACAAATATCTATACATGGCATTAGTGTTGGGGAAGTGACTTAGCACAGTGTCACCACAGTTTTGCAGATAACTACAAATATAGGGAAAGCAAAGCAGATATATGAAAATCAGAATTTGCCCCAAATAGAAATGAGTAAGTAATTATTTGCCCCATAAAAGAATTCACTAGAAAATTCCCTTAAATAATTAGCATTTAAAATCAATTTCACTCTTAAAAAGTTGAATTTATACTCAACTTTTCAGGGACACATCTGGGTACCTCCCAAGAACTACGTGAAAGTTCCAAGGGAAGAAAATAAAAAACGAATTCACAATTTCACAACGCTTCCTTCTCAAAGCAACATATTCTATAACTAGGCAAGAATAGATACCTTATGTCCAGATTCATTGTCCCAACATGGTATAAAGGTGTACATCCTGTGCTGACAGAGATATAACAAACATTGACTACACTTTGGACAACTCACCCAATAAAAACTGCTGGCTTTAAAATAAAATGTATTTTGTCCTGCTTAGATCTGCATTACCCAAACATGGGCTGCTTTGATTGTTGTTAACCAACTAATTTTCAGCTCTCTGGATTGCATATTTTGAGGCAATAAGATGTCTGTGGAATAGGAAAGGTTAGTTTTTTAGTTAAATAGCAGCACTTACTGCATCATCAACAGATTGAGACTGAATGTTTGCAGTGATTATCTCTGATAAGGAACTCATGGTGGAATTCCATGCAAGGTAACACAGGTTTGCATGTATCGCTTTGAAATTAAAAATCTAGACCTGGTGTCATGACTGCCTTGAATCCCAATGCTGATTGTGCCACTTACGAGCCAAATTTGGGTAATATTTTCAGTTCTCTAAACCTTGTTTTCCAAATCTGTATAGTTCCTCCCCACAGAGTTTTGTGACAACTAAAGGAGGTAATGTATACCGAGGTAAGAATCAGAGTACCAGCCAGACACATTACATGGGTGCAATAAAACAAAGAAACAAACAATATTTTAAGATATATAAAAAATTACTTAAGTGAAAAAATATATGTATATATAGCATATGTGATATGCTAATATATGACATACATATATATGTATGTGCTTTATATGTGTGTGTCTGTGTATACACAGAAAGGTAATTTTTTTATCCTAATTTATAGATAAAGTTTTTATCTTCAAGGCAGTAAATAAATCTGCCAAAAGTTGCACTGCTGATTAGAATCAGAACTGAGGTTCCTAAACTGGATACGATTGATTCTAAAACCATCGAAACTTTTTCTAGAATGCAGTTCATATGAACCTATGTCTGTCACATAAAAAGTAACTATTTTTTTCAACTTAAAAATGATCATTGACTGTATTACCTTGAGATTGTAAGGCCTTCATAGTATAGCTAAGTTCCTTAAAATCTGAGGGGAAAAAATGTCATATACTTTCAAATGGGGAGTAAAAGAAAGTAACCATTTGCTTCAGACATTGTAATACATGAATCTTTTTATGAATGTAGGACTTTCTTTTACTGCATCCCTAACAGATGGTCATGCAGTCCGTATTTGAATGTTTTTGGTAATTTCATAATCCTATTAGAAAGTTTTTCCTCATAGTGAACTAAAATACGTATCTCTCTAATTTCCACTCATTGTCCTTGTTCTGCCTTTTGCTGTTGATAACTCGGAGAGGTCTGGCCCTGAGACAAGCTAGGACAGTCTCTTAAGGAAGGTAAAAATCATGGCAGGGAGAACTGTCCTCACTTGGGCACTGGTTATCAAGGTGGATATGCAGAATTATACATTTTTCTAAACCTGGATGGCTTGCCCCACATCCAGTGAATTCAAATTTTGTTGGTGAGGCTTGAGAAGCACAGATGTAGGGTATAAATGGTATTCAAAGTCATGTGGGGCATCTCAATCATAAACTATTTATTAGGATGGGATACATGGTGGACAGAGTTCAACCCCCAGGGGAAGAGGATGTTAAGAGGTAGATGGTTGATAAGGCCCCATTGGAGGGTTCAGGGCAGGTGTCCAGTGCCAGTGGGAGAAGGAAGCCAAAATCAGAGTCCAGATGCATGAAGCCTACATGGTGAACAATTGGCTTAGGTGGATAGTAGAGTTCATTAACTCATTGATTCATATATTTATGGAGAATTTAATATGTGTTAAGTGACAGCATGATAAGGGCTGGAGACACAATGGAAAAGAAGACAGATTAGGTTTCTAACCTCACAGGCAGGACTCCCCTCAAGCTCATTGAACAGCAAGACTACCACACTGAGGTCCAAGCTTTAATCCATTGTCAAGGATGGAATATATAAACCTACCCTATTTTTACTCCTACTTCCTCTACAGCATAATGCCTCTTCAAAAATATGAAATAAGTTGGACAAGAGAATTTTTTAGAAGTACCACAT